TCACAACACGACCGGGACACCATCAAAACATGACCGGGACACCATCACAACATGACCGGGACACAATCACATGACCGGGACACCATCAAAACACGACCGGGACACCATCACAACATGACCGGGACACCATCAAAACATGACCGGGACACCATCAAAACAGGACCAAGACACCATCACAACATGACTGGGTCACAATCAAAACATGACCGGGACACCGTCGCAACACGATCGGGACACCATCAAAACATGACCGGCACACCATCACAACATGACCGGCGCACCATCCGCCCACCAGCTCTGACGGTGACCCAACGGCGCCCGTCCGCCTATTAGTTTTGCAAGACCCCATAGCATGGCCATTGGGGAACAAAAATATTGGAATTTCTTTGATATTTTCAACGTCAAGCTGATTTTGGTACCCAAAGAAGCTCACCACAGAATGGCTTTAATTGAACGCTTGCGTGCAATGCGAAGATTCCAAATCTTCAAGATCCTGAAGGAGGAACCAAATCGATCCATTGCTGAAGTTGTTCGTGTTGCATGCATTCAACGAAATCGTCTTCGATTAGCGTCCGGAAGTTCACCTTATCTGATCGTATTTGGATGCAATCCACGACACAACAATGGAATCATGGATAATCCTCCAGACATTGGAATTTCGTCTGAATTTTCTTTCATTCCTTGTGCTTGGTCCTTGGTATCGTTTGAATCTGGGACCATGGTTAGATATTGAATTTAATAATATGGATTTGAAATCATTGAATGCCGTCATGGAAGGAGGAAGGCGATGATCATCTATCCATGCATAGATCTTGGTGGGAAAGAGGCTCTTTTGCCATAATATTTTGTTTTCCCTTTCCTTTTGCTGGATTTTCCTTTGCCTTATGATTTCCTTTTTGATGTATTTTTTTATCTTCCTTTGAATCCGTCTCTAGTGAATTCCAATGCTACCACGGCATAAAAATCACGAGCTAATATTAGTTCTTTTATTCGCGTTTGGGGCTCTAAATAGGAAATGTAGTCTTCATCTACGATCTCTATGATATTCTCCAATTCCTCATTGATTTCTTCCTCGAAGACTTTATTTTCATCGCCATACTAGGCTTCTTGATATTCTTCATCCTATTTATTACCATCATTTTCATAGAACTCCTCATCGATGAAATCATTCCCATGGAAGAATTTATTCTTCCTGTAGGCATTTGCGCCGATGAATTATGATTGGGTTTGTGGTCTCCTCTAAATATACGCAATAAAGCTTTATGAACGGCCTTATATTCCAGGTGACCATGGTAAAATGCTTTGACCTGGACGTGGATTTATTTGGGTGTGTTAGAGCGAGACAAAAAGTGCCAGCTAGCTAATAATGAGGGGATTTCGATATTGAATTCCTTCAGCTTTTTGAGGGCAACATGATGCCTTAGTAGCAAGGATTGAAACTCCTCTCCCTTGTGGCGGTTGAAGTTCTGCAGCGGTATGGAGTCTCCATATATTTTCGTATTGGAATAAGGCTTTTAACATGTGTAGAAGAGGTTGAAAGGGAGTGGTATTGTTTGGGATATTTCCTAAATCGATTTGTTCCATTGTTTCTTATGCAACATCTTTGAGCAAGGAAATAATGAGAAGACTTTCTTCTTCATTTTTTGCTTTTAGGGACTGACGTTTGGATTGCAATATATAAAAATATATCTTCGACGACAATTGCGATAGCTTGATTTAGGTCGTCGGCCGTCGGGGCGGCCTTCATTATCGAATCCACGATATCCTTCATTAGATCCATCTCCATGATTTAGAGATGCTTCGC